TTTGTCGTCAGTTTTCATATTAGATGCTAACTTAGTGAAATATTTATGCTCTTTTTCGCATTTATTTTCTAAACTCTTAAGTTGCATTCTAATTGCAAAGAAAATGCGTTACAAGTACAGAAAAAATTATTCGAATTGAAAAGTGTTTTAGATGTTGTAATGTTCTTATTACATTCTATTTTAAAAAAAATGAAAAATTATCCTATTCTCAGTCCGAAAATACACGGCAATTGCAAAAAATACATGGCAATTGCAAAAAAATACATGGCAATTGCAAAAAAAAACGTTCTAATTGGTATGCAAATTGTATTCAGTTGAATTTTTCGAGCTAATTGAAACGCGCTTCTAATTAAAACGCAAATTGTGCTACACAGACCGGTGTTGGGTAAGGGTTTCGCGGTCCCGTTTTGGCGCTAATTTTATAGCTTTGAATTTTAAGAATATCTAGAAAAGCTACGATATGCCTTAATACCATCGAGGAAGAGGCGACATAGAGATAGCTAAAGAGATTCTTAGAAAATACTCAAGCAGTTCTCGGTCAAATTGCTTGCTTCAGTCAACAATGGGAGACCCAGAATAACAAACCCGAACGACTTAGAAAACGCTGTTGATCGAATGACCGAGATCTGTACAACGTTTGGCGTTCTTCATTAGAGTGTACCCACCAAATAATTCAGATGCAAATAAATCAGTCGTTCGCCTGACGAATGTTTTAGACGATATACGAACCCATCATCTTTGTACGAGACTCAAAGGTTTAAATACAGAGAGTGCCTGTTCTTCTGAATACCAATGCCCAGTGAGCGGCAGCGGCGAAAAAGGTCGTACACTTTTTGAAATTATGAAGGATCAACTGGAATTATTGCTAAGTAAACACTTTCGCTCGGCTAGAATTGCTAAATTACTGAGAATTTCAGGAGAGAACTCTTAGAAGACGAAGAGAGGGATTTGGAATCTGTTACGAGTTCGATGTTTGAGTGGCAGGTGATTTGTAGTCATAACAGAACGCAGGGTTATCGGAACAGCAACAAGAAGGTTTATTCCAAAATGAAGGTAGTTTTCACTTGCTTAACTTTACACTAGCCCGTAACTCAGTAAACTTTCACGGCCTCCGCGCATTCGCCAACTTCGATCAACTTGAAAATATTCACGGCCTCCGCCAAAATTCAGGAGACACTGCCTCGTCACACTTGACTGATTGCGAATGATCACCACCAACTCTCATCGCTGTCAAAACTAAGTTCAGGCTTCGCGTAACCCATCCTCCGAGACCCAGGGGCTGTGGGTCGATTTCAAGTAAGGGCATGAAGAGCCCCTGGGGACATTGTCTTACAAGACTAGTTCCAAACGGTCGCAGTCGTTCTGCCATGTAAATGGTGCCAGAAAATCTTTGTGTTTTTCTGCCCAATCAGAGTGAAGTGAATTGTAGAGTCCTTTCGTGTGTTTTAACACGAACATAGACTAATAGCTCAGTTGCTCGCTATGTTTGTTTTTGCCGTGTGACGCAGATTTGCTTGAGGTGAAAAGTTTCAGTCTCAGCACAGAATGTAAGAGGAATCGATCAGATTGTCCGCGAAAATTTTACCGGAAATTATACTGAATACTTTTGCAGGTATCACTAGAGAACGTGTTTTAAAGTTTGCGAGGTTTGTATACAACACGATGGTTGCAGTCATTGATATGTCGCTTTAAACGTTAAACGAGATTTAAGCTTAAATCTTTCTAGATTTTTTGCATAATTTGCTGTGACTGAAACTTTGCCAATCCCGTGAAGTTATTTCGTCGCACGGGCCACGCAGGTATGTCGAGCAACTGG